CATAACCGAAACCAGCTTATAGAGATTAACTCATGGAATAGGAAAATCGAATTCACAACATTCAAAGATCGTCCACGACAACTTTTCAGGCGCTGCAGAAGAGGGGTTCTGTGTGTTGATGGCCAATCAAGCTGAGAGATGTCCCGAGCTGAGCAAGTACTGATGGAAATATGAGCTACGAATCAAGCTTACAGCTTTGGGGCGAGAACATTCGATGACTGACAGTTATCGGATGAGGGGGCTTTCGTATGGAATTTCTTCCTGTTGTTGCCCTTTCTACTTTATCAAGCCAGGTGACAATGATGAATATGCTTAATCATAAAGCGAGGGGTGATATCGCATGGTTCAATATACTTATTGGAGGGTTATGCTATGGAAACCACAATTGCGCGTCATACTATTCGAGCTCTTCTAGAATTGGTCTTGCTGCGGTTTTCTCATGCCTTGAGCTACAGGACGGGTGCTACGACGAATTTGCGAGCCATGTCAAGCCTCTGGCATCACATGCAAAACCAAAGCTATGATGAGGCAATGCTACGTATTTTTAAGAGCATGATGATTCGGAAAGTATGCCAACGGATGGCATAAAGGGTCTCAGAACCGTTGCCAAGCGATTTTATTCTAAATCGAACAAGCCCTTCTGTAGCTCATCCAGGAGGGGCGACGAATGGGTGGGACACTTGTCAGGCTTAGAACATAAAGACAGCTCATTTACGAAAGAGGGTACTCTAACTTCTGTGAGGCATTTAACACGTCAGATACGCATGAAAAATGGAAAGTGATCGAAACAGTGACATTCTAAAGCCGTAGGTGAGGTGTGAGCGAACAAGGGTCATCGAAAAAACAGGTATGACCATCCAAAGCCTTTCCTATTGTCTGCGCACGACCAATCATCTGTGTGGTGTCATCTTCCAATTGAGTGTATACTTTGGCTACCTTACTCTTGCCGCACAAATTGACTTGTTCGTGTAAAATGCAACTCACGCTGCAGATTTTGCATCGCTCTCCGACCTTTGGTCTGGGTGAGATACTATTGGCTACAGATAAGAATGCTTTCTTTGGCATGTTTGTGTAGCCTGTCCTCCATTCCCATATTGTCACAGGCCATTTGTCAAATAAACTGTCAAGGGCAATTATATACTGCTTACATCCGTGCTTCAGGATGATGGTGCTAACGATCGAACACAACGACTTCCCAGGCATACCAATACGAGAAGATTGAAAAACCCTCCATCATGACTTTAAAGCAGCTGACTGAGATCTCACGAAAGGATCTACAGAGCAGAGTGGATGAGGCATCCGTAACTGATGTCCGCCATCTGTCCTCGTACAACTGGCTAGAGGCTCCTGAGCCCACAATTGCCGTCCCAGGTTGCCCTCCACTTTGGTCACCCCCTAAAGCTGCACGCCATGTGAGGAAAGACTCCGGTTTGATTTACATAGCGCAGAATGCCGCTCGTCATCCTGAATATCCGCTTGAACCACTGTTTCGGGCCTTATACATGGAGCATCCTTCGTTTGACCTTGAATCAGTTGATCTCATAACTGATCGAAATAACATTCGCAAACTCCTGTCATTCGTCAATCCTAGTATCAGCAGAAATGGGCTTGAACCTTTCACTATCCATGTTGAAGTCTTCAAAAACACGGTGATTTTCTGTCGCGCAGAAACTGAAACCAAGAAGTTCGTTCAACCTCATGAATTCATTGGTTACGGTCACGAATTCGAGAAGGCGTTTACTACCGATAAGATCGGTGGTAGTACTGGACACCATAGACTTGTCTCCTATCGTTTTAGCAACATGAAGATCTTGGTACGGTATGAAACTGACGGATACATCGATAAACCCAAAATGGGCATATCGGGTGCCGAAAGCGACGCCCTAGCCAGTATGATACAATCTTTGTCCATCGAGTCTGCCTCTACCGCTTCTACTAGCTCCAAATTGAGAATCAAGAGAGCAGGGGAGGTTGTTGGCTCTGATTCAACGTTAGAGATCAAGACTCGTGTCTCTCACAAGCCTATCGACCTTGAGGAAGTCCTCCCGCAGTTGTGGGTATCCCAGACACCCAATCTCGTGCGCGCCTACCACAAACATGGTCGTTTTGAGCCACCGGAGGTTGAGAATATCTCATCTGAAATCAAAAAATGGGAAGAGAACCATCATCTGGATCTTAAATGTCTCGCCGCATTGATTCGTAAGATTATACTTATCGTGACGGAAAATCAAGGAAACGCCATGATCAAGTATGATCCACAGGTTGATAAATTGATATTATGGCAAGTTGATGGACCAAAGATGTTACCCAATGATCTATACTCCAAGATGTGTAACGATGAAACAAAATCTCAGAAGGACTCGAGCTCGGCCGCGGCATCTTACAGAACGAAAATCAGAATCGGGGAGATCTTGTACGACATCGACGTCTCGAAAATACCGTATCTATCTTCCTTCCTAAGGTTTCAAAATACTGCCCAGCCGCAAAGGTCGGAATTTACTCACAGCTCCATTCCTTTGTTTGATACCGCTCTCGAAGGCCTCGAGTCAGGCTACCGAGCCTGTTTTCGCTTACTACCAGCGGATTTGTCTCAATTTCACACCCTTTGTGATACATATGACTTCCTTGGGATTGACGTTCTAGGAGGTCAATCACTCGATGATATTATTGTCCGCCTGAAAGCTGGCAAGACTGACTACGAGCTCGAGTACAAGCATTATCGTGCTATCAAGGGCGATAAATCCACAGCAAGGGATGCAGCCTTTCAACTTTTATTTCTAATTTTGCTTTGCGACTTCAAGAATCCAGCGAAAGATAGCAATCAAGTTTTCAATGCGGTTCTATTTGTAGTCTCTCATTCAGGGACTTTCAAATGGCGGATAAGGACTGTGGTGCGCGCGGCCTATGAGGAGCGCTTTGTCTTATCTTCTAAACAGAAGGTGACATTGGACCGCTGGTCGAAACCCAAACCTGCCGAGGACGTATCAGATGACTATGTGACGACAGAGGATGACTTTTCGGAATATTATCTGTCCGATGAGTCTTGAGTCGAAACCCTTCAGATACAACTTCATGGGTCTTGTTGCATTTCCGGAGAGTATGTTATCTGGAAATGTGTGGAAAGCCATATCACTAAGAAAGCTTGTATTCACTTTCATGCATCCGCACTTTTTATCTCATTATTTCCGGACTTAGTTAGCTGCTGAAGGGTTGAGGCGACATCATTTTGCGGTCGACTATTGGGGTATTTGCACAATCTTGGTTACACATTGTTTCATCTCCAATTGCATGTGCAGTAAAGTCAGATCACACCCAATAATGAGTTGACACATCATCCATAATAGGTGCGGGGGTGCTGTGGGTTATTAGAGAGCAAGGCTGTGTAACCTGGTGAGCAGCTAGACCTTGGTTTCCTCCAGAACAAAACTCTAAGATAAAATAACTCTCAAGCCTTCTCTCGATATTATTTCATATCATAGTATCTACCTTTACCGATTCATGCTTTCTCGTATTGGACAATGATGGCGGATTATAACAGTTCCCAAAATGTACAGCGTCTTCGGGGTTACTATGAAAGAGGACTATCCACCAGTCCTTCCACTATGCCCAACGCTTATGATGAGACTGAACACCAAATAATTACTAATGGTCTAGGTTTACGGGTCAAGGAAGTTGAGCAGAAAAGCAGATCGAAAAAGGGAGTCACTGCCATGGATCCTTGTCGATCAACGAGCTCGATGGAGAAACAGGTCTGTGAAGAATCCGCTGTTGTAGAGGAAAAAGAAAACAGAAGCGGCGCATCGAGAATGGAAGACAAACAGAGCTTGCACGCATTCATATTTGATGGAACTGACGACATTCACGAGCTAGAGTGGAAGAAAGAAGAGGCTGATCGGGAGACTGAGGAGCTTGTTGATCAAATTGAGCAATGCCAACTTACGATAGACGATTTACGCAAGCAAATAAGCGGTCTCCAAGCAAGAGAAATAAAACTCATACAATGCAACGAAAAGATCAATGAGGATCTCGCTGATCAGATCAAAGACCTGCGTGAGAGGCTCCGAGAAAGCAAACTTCGGGAACGAGAACTCCAAGCCCAACTTGAACGCAGCCGCCAGGTCAAAGAAGATCTTCGAATGGAGCTTGAGGAAACTAAAGTTAGAGCCATTCAACTTCGTCAAAGCAAAGCCAGGGAGCGTGAATCCGATTCAATTCAGCATACAAGAAGAGAGCAGGGACAGCTGTCACATGAACTACTGCAGCAGCTGGTCGAGGTGACCGTTGAGAACATTTCACAGAGAAACGCCCCAGCCGCCAATACGCAGCAAGTTATCTACCAGCGCCATCCGCATGATGTTGATATTATCGCCGAACAGAATCAAGCAATATCTTACTTGAAGCAAGAAAATTCTCATGCGGAGCGGAAAGCTCGCCGGGCCAACTTAGAAGCGGAATATTTCAGGAACGAATTCATGAAGTCGAGTAAGAAAAAGCAACCGAGAGGCGAGAAAGTGATCGCGTTATCAAGACAGGGAGGCATCACGCAAGTACTCCTTTTTCTTGCAATTAAATGCCTGAAACTGATCATTGAATAGAAGCCTCTTAGCCTATACGCAAACATGAGGAACCTGGAACGAATGAAAGGATTTTTACTGCAGGTCAAACGGTTTAGAGAGCGGTTCAGAACGAGGAGCAATATAAATATGAGTTATCTTACTTGTCTGCAACATCCGCCTGACATGTTATGATTTTAGCACATACACAGTAGAATCGATGATTCTAATTTGATTTAAGCGTAATTATCCAGAAGCATTAATTTTTCTGCAGCTGAACATGAAAACGGCTGTGGCTTGACATCATCCTCAATTATGACCATTGAGCCTTTGACTGTCGGCTCGCGGTATGATCGTCGTGGTGTCTTTGTGTAACGCTGAAATAAATGTTGACGGGGTGTAGACTCTCACGGGGCTCAGTGGGTATGAACGTATGTCTCGCTATCTTATACAATCCAGTGCCACTTCAGTCCCAGCCTTTGAAAATAGCCGAACAAAGACTTTTTGGGCACATAACCCGCATACCTGCTCTGCCAAAGAGCCGCGAACGATCCCTCGATAGGTCCCAGGTCACCAAACCCCAGAATCTCAAGCGCCCATGGCATTAAAATAGCCAGGATCCCCAATGCAATCAATGTCGCATAGACTGGGTGATCTTCAGCAAACCCAACCGCGGTGTGTTTAGCTTGTGCGAGCGCATCGAGCGAAGCCTTTGCCATCTGGGTACCAGTCTTGATAGCGGTCTCAAGACTATAAAGAAGAGCAGTTGCTACATCTCTAATGCATCCCAGCCTTGAATATGTTGGGCATCTGTCGTACAATCCGCAAGGGATAAGGGCATAGCCAAGTTAGAACTCTTACTCGCTATTAGAAAGTTTGAAAGAATAGAAAGGATTATGTTTGCTAACAACAATTAGAACAATGGTGACAAAAAGCACTACCTAGAAAAAGAGTGCATAAGACCGAGCAAAAGTGGCTAAGGCAGACGAAATATAAACAGATTTAGAACCTCCTTCGAGTGACACTGAGCTGGGTCCACCTTATACATGATAGCGGTGGCGTCGAGAAGATACATTAAGCTTGGTTGAACTTCGCACATGTTCCTTCAGTCGTCGTGATGGATAATCTCGTGTACATCACGGATGACCATTTGCTCCCGGGACTTTGTTTCAATTTTTCACAAGACATTCCGCTCACAGGAACCCGTACTATTGCAGCCTGACTGAGCAAATATCTTCACAACCTAATCTCTGGACCCCAGACTCATGCCTGCCATCTCAGCGATGGGGTTTGCCTTGGCCAGAACTTCTGTTGGTACCCGTTTCGTGAAAAATTTGCATTGCCCGGTCGCGCAAGACAAATAAGGCTTGTTGCCCTTCTCTCGGCTAGAATAATCTAGTCGACTTGACTTAGGACTAGCACAGAAGCATAAAGGACTCTCCGCATATATTCCTTGTTTGTCGGCCCAACTTTGAATTTTCTGGCAAGGTTCGCAAAAGAAATATGGCCTTCCAGCATTTCCATTTTGATTCCAGCGTTCGGCATGTTCTTTTGTTGTTGGTTTCTGGCAGTATTTGCATCTTGGAGTATCAGTGGAAGCTGGAATCAAAAGATCCGACAATACGGGATATGTTTTCTAAAATTAATTTGAGTTTATTTAAAGATTGCAATCAGCATGTTGGTAGGCTTACCATTCGATCCTGCGTTGGACTGGTGGGTTCCAAGTTTGTAGTAGATGAGATCGTTCTCTCCGAGCTTGGAGGACTGTCGATGGAGACCGACGCAATCACCCCGTTCCCACCAGCATTGTCTGCTGACAACTCCGCCGCGCTCTGACGGAGCCTCTGAAATATGGTAGAAATATCTGACAGCAAAGTTCTTTCGACTTCTTCTTTCTTTTCATTGGTATCGCGCAACCGATATACGTGAGAAATCCATGTATACAGACCCGAATTATGGACCTGATCGTCGCCATCTCGCGATGTTTGAGGGATGTTCCGGATCATTTCCAGCTCCTTGATTATTTCCTAAGTGTATATCAATCCAACGTCCCAGTATGCGACAAGTGGGTCAACGTACAACCTCATCAATATCATAATTCATCATATCAAGATCGGACATGGCTTTGAAGAAGTTGCAATCAAAGACAGATTTTCCAAAATTTCTTGGAAAGTCTTTCCCTCTCGTTAGTTTCTATATTTGTGAGTTCATTTCATACCCGACATACCTGTTTTACTCAGATCTTGCAACAGTTAGCCTAGCTGACAGCTGATTTGATCTTATTGCAAACTCACCAGAGAGAGATCGGTGTTGTTCAGAAGCTTTTTGACCTGATTCATCTTCTTTTCCTTTGCTTCGAGATATCATTCGAGGTATCATTCGTGTCATTATTGCAAATCTTATTTAGCAGTGATCTAAGACCAGGATAACGCAGAGCAATAGAGAAAATGAGAAGATGAGAAGCTGTGCAAAAGAAAAATGATTGCAGAGTGTAACAAATATCGAAGGATTTCGAAGCTACTTATAGTTGACAAGTCCTTCCAAGGCTGAATGTAGAGCAGGAGAATAGCCGTATCTCAAGACCATAAACTATGTGCGAGGCTGAATTCTGCAGGGCTGAGGCTAAGATGGAGTGCTGTGATTCAGAAGGCGACATCTCGGGCTCCATTTTGATGCCCAAGCACCCAGCTCAAATCATAGCCTGACCCTGCCGTTGTGTAAGTTGAGGCGTACTGACGAGATCAACCCGCGAACAGCTAGCCTGTTACACATTGCTGGCGCAGTACATGCAAGGATGACAATATTAAGGTGTCTATTGTCGGCGATGGGTTCAATTGTCTGATTTCAGAGACCATTTTTAGGATAGGCGGCAGATCCTGAGGACTGATGTTTGATATACAGAGACAACGATCAGTCGACATTGGAATTACAAATCCAAGGCGTGTGATGGTCAGGCAATCGCAAAGACACTCTGTACGCTCGGCTGAGGCTGTCTTGTAAAGGTACATTTCAACAGTCTGCCATTTCAGACCTTCCGCATGAATTAGGGCGGCGGAGCACTGCAGACTCGCATGAAGCTGAAATATCTTTAGCCCCAACAAGGCTGCAGAGCCTCATAGTACGTGACTGATTAAGGATCAAGGAGTGTTAACTATGAAGACATGCCTGATTACTAGCAGAATGAAATCCACCCTTTTTAGCACTTGCTGATATACTTATAGAATATACTGTATGCTTAAACTGTCCAAAGCCTTGGCAATCATTGCAGTATAAGATGGGATAGTTGCTGTGCAAACAACGCTCAGCAACGCACAAAGACTGCGAGTACAAATCTCTTAGGACCGTCTCAACTGACCTCCCAAATAAAAGGGGTCCTCCGAATCTGGACCGGAATCTGCATACTACTCTGGACTAAGTGCAATTCTAAGACGCTTTAAACGTCGCTGTCAACTTTTTACATTTATATAATTACAACATATTCTATTCATATTGTGCATAACCTCAATACTCTCACAGAGCGTATCATTCTCCTAATGTGCTGCCCGAATCAGTTTCGCAACGCTTGCAAGTGACCAGGAATGACGATACTTCCATTTTCAACCCTCAACTCCTTCATGAGGGCGCGACGTAGCGCATTATTCTGTGTTGCTGAGCCATTGGGTCCCTTGTTGACTTGTAGAGCATTTGCTAGCTGCGGACGCGATCCCACGTCCCATTTCAGACCGAGTATCTTTGAAAGGTCTACAATCGACTCCCTCCAGTTGTAGGCCTTGATGGTACGGGCCTCTCGTTCAAGCAAATTCTCGAGGGTGTGACTTATAGGTTGAGTAGTGACCGTGGACTCGTCAGACGTCCCATCAGAGCAAGACGTGGAACCGGCAAGAAGGGACGGGAGGCACTGGAGCAGCTCCTTCGCAAAGGCCGCCGCTGCAACTGCCGCATATTTCTGCCAGTGGTCGTTCTTATGTGAATCCGCATAATCACTAATACCTCTGATGACGAGAGATGGTAAGGTGCCCATAATGCCTGCTGCTTCCATGTCAATACAACACGCGTTGTATAGATCCCGCAAGGAATCCCTTTTTGCGGCACTCCTGACTAGTAAACCACCGGATGCAATTACCCCATAATGAATTTGAGGGGCCAGGTTATCCCGGGCACTACGCTGTACCAGTCTCTTCTTGTCGCATTCATCGCAATCAGAGCCTTCTCCAGCATGTTCGTAGTCGGCTTGAAAGAGATGGTCCGACCGATTATCAGGTCGGTTGAAGCTAGGGAGTTTGCCCACCACGCTGGAAATGATGTTAGGTATTTTACTGCTTTTATCCAGCTCCCTTACCCGCATCTGGCTGACAGCAGCTTGAATCGCCCGAGGTGGAGGTACCGGGAAGTTCAGATGCATGAAACGATCTGATAGCTGCTTTCCCTGATCGTGATGAGTAATACCACTGGATAGATATCCTGGGGTCCCCACAACAATGTCGCCGAGGCGGACATCACAAGCACGGCTGGGAACTCCGCCACCGATACCGACAAGAAGAGCATATTTAATGCCTTCAAAGCTCCGTAACAGGTCAGCAGCTGTCGCTGCTACGTTATCAGGTCCTGGACGGGATGTACAACACAACACAACATTGTGGCCAGCAATTTCGCCAAATTCGTATTGATTGGGATCCCGCGGATCGATTCCAAGCGGACGGCTGTGTCGCTTGTCATATACTTCTCTGAAGGCCGCAAATTCTTCTGGAATTACAGTCAAACAGGCGACATAGTAGTCTTCGGATTTGCGAGTCTCGAGACGAGCCATGGTTGACATCTGTGCGCAAACGTAGTCAGGGATCTTAGAGGTGAAGATTATTCAGGGAGATTCTAGAAAGCTATGCTTTATGAAATAAATACGAGACTCTTCTGCCGACACAGGGTTCTTCCAATCCCCTTATACTTAGGAATTCTCCGGAAATAGGACGAGATGGAGGGTCGCGAAAGGCTGAAGTACACAGGCTGAGCAAGCGTGTTTGAGGGGTTGTCGTGTGACACGAGGCTGACAGGAATGTTCCTATGCAGTGGTTATCTTAACGAACCAGCCTTGCTGCTGATTTTACGAGATTAGCCGATCTGCAATAATATAACACGGGCCGATACATATTTACATTGTTGGGATAATTAGTTGAGCCACAGCGAATGGTAATGCCAGGGAGGCTGAATTCTCAAAGAAGGCGAATAACAAATACGCCCGACTCATAGAACTATGGTGTCAGTTACTCCGACATAATTAGAAATTAATTAGCGAAACGAAAAACCAAAAGCTCTCTTTGCGTGACTTAGGAATAGTTCAATTGGGATCCCCTCCAGCCTTGTCCAAATTGACTGGCTCACAACGCTCGTCCACAGCCGCCGACTTCTTCAGTTGCATACGAACTTTGAGGGTGTAGTTACCAATTAATGGCACAGCCTCGCCATACCCTGAAGGCTGTCGCTCAGAGTGCAGTTGAAACCGACATTTACCTTTCTTTTCTTTTCTTTTTCATTTAAAAAGGCCTGATGTGCACCCCACCTTATAACTTATATCACAAAACCCTTACTTTGTTCATGTTTGAACACTAATAGCCTATTCATGATCGCAAGTTATTTTCCCAAACAACTTCGATTTAACACTGTATGGAGATCGGAATGAGTTTTTCTACCCCAAAACACATCCCTAGCGGAGAACCAAATGGAGAGCAGTCAAACAAGGAGGAAGTCTTCTCAGGTGATGAACAGACTAAAGACACTCCACCAGAGAACGGTGCTATAATGTCCAAGAATAGCATCTCCACCTGGCCTTTCAGAACACTCTTCGATCTTTTAAAGATAGCCAAGGGGAGAGTCAACCAAAGCATGCTCAACTTCATCAAGCAACAGTAAGTCGTGCCTTTGGTCTTCTCATGGAGTGATACGTCCCTTTCTCTCGTTCTGATGCGAGTATCTCTCCAGTCTCAATGGCACGAGGCTCATATTTGTGGTGGGCGAGACCGGATCTGGCAAGACCACGCTGTTAGGAGAGATAACAGGCCAGGATCTCAAAATTGGACATTCAGCCAATTCAGGTATCATTCATGCCTTCCAATCAGAATCCTAAGCAGATTCCGCTAAACTCTTCAATATAGGGACCCTTGGCTACCAGGTACTCCCGGCAATAATCCACGGCAAGCAATACCTCTTCGTCGATACACCGGGGTTCGGAGCTGCGGATCTGCAAAATAGGGAGGTATACGAAGACATAATGAGCTGTGTGTGTACTCTGGGACAGTGGGTAACTGTTGCTGGAATCATGTTTGTTCACGATGCCAGGCAGCAAAGACTGACCCAAAGTGAAATGACAACTATTCGGTGGCTGGAATGCTTTTGCGGTCCTCAGTTCTTTCAAAATGTCACAATTGTTCAAACGCAGTGGGACAGGATTACTGAAGATGACGTGGATCAAGCTCGCGATATTGCTGAAGAGCTACAAACATCAGCATTTAAGGATATTCTCTTCCCGAAACACGTCAGAGGTGGGTGTGTCTACAACCACGGAGTGCGTGTGGGGAATGGTAGCGATTGGGACATATTCTCCAGAAAAAGAAACCCGGCAGAACGATCCCAAATGGCCGCGGATTTCGTACAGTACCAGTATGAACGTTGCGATGGAGTTGGGAGGCTCCAGGTTCTGGAAGAGCTAGCTCAAGGCTGGGGACCCTATGAAACGGAGGCAGCAAAGACTCTTTTTAACGCTTCTAGTACTCCAATGATATGTGTACTACGATACAAAGCCTTTGTGGTGGATCTCGACGAGGAAGTTATGCCCAAAGTGAAAGAAGAGGACGAGGCTACTGCAGCAGAACCATCAGCGAAGCAGCAAGCAGCCGAAAGTTCGACATGGAAATGGTGGGAAATTGCAAAAGAGGTAGCATGGACTTTCTGGGGCTTTGAAAGAACTGGAACGACCAAGTTTACGGAATATATGGAGTCGGTGACTACGGATGTGTGGGAAAGATTGAAAGGCTGGTGGTCCGGAAAGACGCCACCTCAGTAAATCAATAACACTGGTTTTCTCAATTATTATATCGTCACAGTGCTTTGTTTGTGTTACAGTATCCTTGTTCATGTTATGCATATAGCTTCTGATTGTTGCCGTATTAGTGCTCCTGAGAGTATGAGAATTACTGGAACAACTATGCCAGATTTTATAGACTTTCATATTTATATCTATCGAAAGCGAGCTACGTACAAGAAATATACCACACGGTGGTTGGTGGACGTTTACCAGTAAAATGTAGACTTATTGCAATGAAGTTAATGACTCTTACCGTTGTTGTTGTATTCATACTTTGACCCACGATATGCAAGATATACCCCTATCCAGCCCCTATCTATGCCTAAGTACAGCAAACCATTACTGTACTCATCATATCAGGACTCCGTGCTTATCAACCAATTAAGCTTAGTGCCAAAATGCGACTTTCTGCATTATTTTGCCATTCCTGTCCATATATAGTAGCATTCTTCCAACTGTCCAATTTATTCTCTTCGTTTCAGGGCGGCTGCGTGCGACAGCGCGCGCCACTAGTTTTCTTTACTTCCGAGAGGATTTGCAATGCATAAATACATTTGTTGGGTCAAATTTCGGCCATCTCCAGGACCACGCTCACTTTGATCTAGTTAGCCCAAGTTCCTCAGCCATTTCGAATTAACCTTTATCACATATATATGGAATCGTTGGGGCCGGTTCCGGAAATCGGGCGGGGAGAAATTGCGAATATTTGGTCAAGATAGACTATTAGCATATATGTAATATTCTCCGTTGTCAGGGATGCATGCAGTCATCCTTTCCCTCTCCATGTCTGCCTTACAAAGCTGGCTTTACCGTCATTTTAAATATACGGGGAAGAAATCTCATTATCCTCTGCATGAATCGAAGACTATCTGGAAAAGAACGATATATACTTGTATCCTTTCTCGTTGCACAAATCTTATTTTTGAAATTTCGCATATAGGTTTCGGCAGAGACCAGCTGGATGATTGCAAGCTGGCTGTAGTTTGGGCTAAGATCTCTGGATCAGGCAAAGCGGTATGAGAATGATTCCCATTTCCTGGGGGGAGAAGGAGAAATGGTTGTTATTCGTCCAGTGTGGGCATGTAACAACCAGCAGGCTTGGGGGTCTCACTATTCTAAGAAATGCACCCATGACGTCTCAAGTTGGGTTTCAACTACAGCAGGAGAAGGTTTATATGTTCGAGGATGGTTTCAGCTCCACCTATCTATAGTTTGTACTCAGCCATGGCGTAGCTCAGGGTTACGGCTAGAAAAAGTTTCGGGAGCTAAGATAAATATGGCTAGCTTCATTCATGGATCAGGGGAAATCAATTTCAAAAGTCTTTTTTATTTGTATCTCAGTCATAGTTATTTTTGAGTAAATATTTTCACTCCAACATATTCCTCTTATCCTCAATTATGTCTCATTCTTCTGATAACTCAATATCTCTGGAGTTAGGAGAGCAATTGCACTTTTTCCCCTCCTATCTTCGTATCCTTACAAACTGGCGGGTAATTCTTTGCACTGATCATGGATCATGCTATACTCGCCATAATCTTCCCCAATATCTTCTTCAAAAATATCATATTAAACGACCACAACGACGGGAAATCGAACAGTATCCAGACTATCAATTGATTGCAAATAACTTGGATGAAGTGATATATCCTACAGATGGAATTACCGAGATCAATGATCTTCCAACCGTACGAGGTTTTCTCTGTCATATAGAAACCTGTTCCTATCGATCTCGCAATATTGATCGTATACGACAGCATTATAACCAGGCACATGGATGGCGCAAAAGTCAAGGAATAATGCCTTGGAATCATGCACATCTTCAAACATTATTTCAGGAAAAGGAACAAATTCGTTACTTTACCGTAGTACCAGCTAATCTATTCTCCTTACCACGTGTCTCTCCATCTATCACATCTACTCTTACTACAAATGATCTACCTTCCTTGGATACTCTTCTCCAGGAATACCACACATTTCAAACTCAGAACTCTGTGTCATATACTGTGAATGACAGTCAGCATATCTCTGAAATTACTCCATGGTTGCGAACCACTAGTATTCATGTTCACCTTACTGGATTAGATCTAGAAACGGTGGGAGATCTTTATCGACTTCCCAATCATGATGAGACAAGATTAGATCTCATCTGCGCCAGCGTGGACCGAATCTGGAGACAGACAGAACAGCTACTACATCACAACCCTGTTAGTGACATCCCACGGCTAAGTCGCTACAATGCTCGACTTCTCAATACCTTTGCGCGAGGAGAGATCTCGCAGAATCCTATCCAGCCTCTCCAGAATCCTCAGAGTCGCTCTCGGTACATTCAGACCTGGCAGAGGTTGATCTGTTATTGGAGTCGAGTAATGGATGACCAGCTCCTTCCTAATCCTTTATTTCTGCCAACAGAGGGTCAGAAGTCTACCTGGGATGACGTGATCACTACTGCTAAGAATCTAAGTCACCAACAAGAATTAGAGCAGAATAATGATGAGGCTCTCCATCAACTCCAGCAGGAGATGGATAAACAAACCCTTGCATTTTGCCTTGAGATATCCAACAGTCAGTCTCTTTGCGAGCCTTTAACTCTATCCTGGTCTCCTTTGCAGCACTTTT